TTTGTTGCCTAAGAGAAGCTTTTAGTCATGCTGAGGTATCAGCTTGAAGACTGTCAGTTATAAAATTGAAGTTTGGTTCCTCCATAAACACATTTTTTCTGTGTACAATTTAGTCAAGAACAGGATTTTTCGAGATGAGAGACATTTGAGAAATGATGTTTGTACATATTTTTATATTTATTTTTATTGTTGAATATATACAGATGTCCTCCTTCCACCATCCACCGCTGTTTATTGATTTTTTCCAAGAGAAAAAAACATCTATGTGAGAGAAACATTGAAAGGATGCCTTTCCTATGTGCCTGAACCAGGGACAAAACCCAAAATCTGGTTATGTGCCCTGACCCCAAATGGAACCCATAACATTTCAGTGTATTGGGAGGATGCGCAACTGAGCAATACTGGCCAGGGCAGTTTATAGTTATTTATATTATTTGAATACATTTAATTACATCCCTTTTAAAAATAGGGATGTGATTTTGTTGATGTTTGGCTAGAAGGAACTTTAAAACTGTCCTGTGGTTCCTTTGCACTGCATCATTGTAGCTGTCACAGTGGGATTTGAATCACAGTCAATAGTGGTATCAACAGGACAGGATGATTACTAGTCAAATTAGACCTCATGCAAATGCAATCTAGCGAACAGTGCATACTTTTCAGAAAACAATCTCAACCATGACAGTCTACATTTGTTGCATGGTGGACACCTATGGGCTTGCAGGAAAAGCCAACCTATAGTGGATCTTTAACGTTGAATTGTGAACATCTGTAAAGCTTACACCCGACATCAATGGAAGTCAAGCAGTGTTGGGAAGTTTTGAGGATTTCTTAGCTGGCAGGACAAAGATTGAGGAAAACAAACTAAAATATTCTCTTCTTAATGTAAACTTCATAGCACAATTCCCAGCTAAAAGCAACACAAAAACCAACCATGAAAATAATTCACATGGGACTCTCCAGTGAACTGTAAGTACAAATATATGGCAAATACTTATTAGCTAAAATAGTAGTCAATTTCAAGTGCAATTCAAAAATTAAAAAAGAACACATATATGTGTAGGGCTTATTCATTCAATACCTGTCAGGGCACATCACTGGGTAGAAGAGTCCATCCCTGGTCAGGCACATGGGAAAACAACCCATCTATGTTTCTCTCTCACATGAATGTTTCTCTCTACTCTCTCTCTTCCTTCCTCACTTTAAAAAAGTAATATAAAAGCTAACAAAAAAAAAAAGAATGGGCACTGATAATGACCAAATACGTCAAAAGTTTATAGAACTTCTTTAATGCTGTGAGTTTTGGGGAATATATGACTTAATTTGCAACAGGCTTACATGTACCAGTTAGTTACACTAATAGGATATATTTTCAGTGCAGTGTTCAAGCTACTTTGAAAGTATTTGTTAAAATTTTAAAGTTTGTTTTAATTGTCAATTATACAGTGTACATTCTCACATGGTATTATAGGGCTATGAGGCAACATGAAGGTTTTCCTACATTTTTACATTCAATACAATTCTCCACTTTGAGTTTTTTCATGACCTTTCCAAGCAAAAGGGACAGTTGAAGACTCCCATCTTCACTATATGTGTTCACTATTTCTACAGGTGCATTTTCACATGTCCAGGAAAGGTTCTCCTACATTCCTTATGTTCATAAACTTATTGTTGTGTGTGAGTCCCTTCATGATTTTGTAAAGAACTAGGATGGCCAAAGGCTCTTTTACCATCTTTACATGACAGGGCCTCTCTTCAGTGAGTTCTTTCATCCTTCATATTAAATTGGAAGAAATGAATGCTTTCTAACCCTCTTATATTTCTAGGGTCCATCCCAATATGGATTATCATACATGATGGTACAGCTGAGAGATAAATGAACCAGGATTGAACCCAGGACCCTTCAGTCCGCAGGCCGACACTCTATCCACTGAGCAAAACTGGCTAGGGCACCAGTATGAGTTCTTACATGGCATCGAAGGGAAGCTGGATAAGAGAAGGCTTTGCCACAATGCTTACATTCATAAGGTTTTTCCCCAGTATGAGTTCTTTCATGATTTCTAAGGTAATAGGGATAAAGGAAACTTTTACCACATTCCTTACATTCATGAGACTTCTTTCCATGGTGAGTTATTTTATGTTCTCTAAGACATTTGGTAGAGAAAAAGGCTTTCTCACATTCCTTACATTCATAGGGTTTCTCCCCAGTGTGCATCCTTTGATGATTTCTAAGAGAAGTGGAATGTCTGAAAGCTTTCCCACATTGCTTACATTCATAGGGTTTCTTCCCAGTATGCATTTTTTCATGATATCTAAGAGATGTAGAAAAGTTAAAAGTCTTACCACATTGCTGACATTCATAGGGCTTTTCTCCACATTGTGTTCTTTCATGTTCTTGAGAGTACTTGCGACTATGAAAGGCTTTGCCACAATGCTACATTCATAGGGTTTTTCTCCAGTATGAGTTCTTTCATGATCTTGGAGGGGAACTGGATAAGAGAAAGCTTTGCCACAATGCTTACATTTATAGGGCTTCGACCCAGTATGGATTCTTTCATGATCTCGAAAGTAATAGGGCTCATAGAATGTTTTACCACATTCCTTACATCCATGAGGATTCATTACTTCATGACTTTTTTTATGTTTTCCAAGAGAGCTGAGCCTACTGAAGACTTTCCCACAATGCTTACATTTATAGGGTTTTTCTCCAGTATGAGTTCTTTCATGACATTGGAGGTAAGTGGGATAAGAGAAAGCTTTGCCACAATGCTTACATTTATAGGGTTTATCCCCAGTATGAATTCTTTCATGACGTCGGAGGGAAGTTCGACGAGAGAAATCTTTATCACAATGCTTACATTCATAGGGTTTCGACCCAGTATGGATTCTTTCATGATCTCGAAAGTAATAGGGATCATAGAATGTTTTACCACATTCCTTACATTCATGAGGATTCATTACTTCATGACTTTTTTTATGTTTTCCAAGAGAGCTGAGCCTACTGAAGACTTTCCCACATTGCTTACATTCATAGGGTTTTTCCCCAGTATGAGTTGTTTTATGATTTTGGAGGGAAGTTGAATACGAGAAAACTTTACCACAAAGCTTACATTCATATGGTTTTTCCCCAGTATGAGTTCTTTCATGACGATGGAGGGAAACTACATAAGAAAAAGCTTTGCAACAAAGTTTACATTTATAGGGTTTTTCCCCAGTATGAATTCTTTCATGACGTTGGAGGGACGTTCGATGAGAGAAGTCTTTACCACAATGCTTACATTCATAGGGTCTTGATCCTGTATGAGTTCTTTCATGATCTCTAAGGGAACAACGGTAACGGAATGTTTTACCACATTCCTTACATTCATGAGGCTTCTTTCCATCATGACTTTTTTTATGTTTTCCAAGAGAGCTGAGCCAACTGAAGACTTTCCCACATTGCTTACATTCATAAGGTTTCTCACCAGTATGTGTTCTTTCATGATTTCTAAGAGAACTGGAACTGAAACTTTTACCAGATTTCTTACATTGATAGGACTTTTCTCCAGTGTGTGTTCTTTCATTTTCTCGAGAATACTTGGGAGAACTGATAGCTTTGCCACATTGCTTACTTTGATATAGTTTCTCTCCATTATGATTGTTTTTGTGAATTATAAAGTAAATGAGACGACTAAAGCCTTTGCCACAGTGCTTACACTCATATGGTTTCCCACCAATATGTGATCTTTCATGATTTCTAAGGGAAGTTGAATAGTGGAAAGCTTTCCCACATACCTTACATTCATAGGTCTTTTCTCCACTGGGTCTCCCTTCATGTCTTTGAATTTGTTGGTGATGATTAATAGCGTTCTCAGGTTCCTTACATTTATAAGGGTTTTCTTCATATTCCTGACACAGGTATAGTTTGGGCCCAATGGGAGAGCTCAGGTGGTTATTAAAGGATAAATAATGCATGAAGACTTGACTACACAACCTGGATTTAGGTTGTTTTATTTCACTAAACGTTTCCCTCTTTTCATTATGATTTGGAATCTGACTGAAGTTTCCTCTGCATTGACAATCATCCTTCCATTTACAGAGATTCTCTACCATATGACAGCTGTAAAAATCAGAAGCATATTATTAATACTCTGTTAATGATTAATATTTATTAATAATATGACAATGACATATTTACCATTTTCAAGGAAAGTGTGGGGTTTCTGTACATTCTTATTATTTGAAAGTGGATATCCTAAAACCTCTGAAATAGATTGGATCACAGACATTATGAAAACACTTATATTCATTAATGGTACTTCTGTATATTGTTTGCAAGTGTAATTGTTTTTAATACACTACATATCAAGGTCATATTTCAGAAAAAAACATTTTGATGAGATTATTCTAAGAATCAATACATTTAAAGCTGGGCTGATAAAATTGGATTGCCTGTTTTTAAGATTCTTTCGTGGATCAGACCCAGGTGGCTCAGTTGTTCAGTATAGACCCATACACCAAGGGGTTGCCAGTTCAATTCCCCAACAGGGAACATGGCCAGGTTGCAGGCTTATTAACCCCAGTACAGGATATGCAGGAGGCAGTCTATTCATGTTTCTATCTCTCCCTCTCACCTCCACACTCTAAATCAATAAAAACATATTTCCACACCACCAGCATGCCTCAGTAGTTGAAGTTTGACCTATGAACCAGGAGGTCATGGTTCGATTCATGGTCAGGGCAAGTGCCCAGATTGTGGGCTTGAATCTGAGTGTGGGGTGAGCAGAAGGCAGCTGATCAATAATTCTCTCTCATCATTGATGTTTCTTTTTGTCCCTCTCCCTATCTCTCTGAAATAAATAAAATGTTTAAAAAAATAAATGAATAAAATAAATATATAAAAACATATTTTCCAAAAAACAGATTCTCTTATGAGACATTGCTTTCTCATGTCAATGCCACTCACCTAAGATTCATCCCATGATTTTCATACTGATCTTCAATGTCATGGTCTTCACATTTTTCTTCTAAAATACATGCTAGAAAAAGCATTATAAACTATTAAGGAATATTACCCAATGAGCTGTGATCATTCCTAGTTTAATTACCAATGTACTCTCATTCATACTTCAATTCTTGAAACAGCACTGATGAGGAAGCAACACCAGTTTTCTAATTGACTAAATAAGTAAAAAGTTGTTGCCGCCCAGCGTAACTCACTGGTTGAACATCAACCTATGAACAAGGAAGTCACAGGTCAATTCCCCGTAGACCTGGTTTGTAGGCTGTATCAGTGATTCTTCCTCATCATTAACTTTTTTCTCTCTCTCCCTCTCCCTTCCTCTCTAAAATCAATACAAATATATTTAAAAACAAAGAATTTGTCATAACTACCTACTGATGCCAGGTTCCAGAAGGTTTCTAGCATCACATCTGTGTAGAGTTTCTTCTGGGTCAGATCCAGGAAAGCCCATGGTGAACTCAACATTTACATCCTCAAAGGCCACTGAGTCCTAAAACATCCCACATATGCATATAGGAGAATGGTTATGATAGCACTGGCGACCTATACATAATTCATAAGAAGTTCACATAGGACACGTGGTCTCCAACATTCAGTCTATGACTTAACTGTAAGACTATCAAGACTATTTATTTGCCACACTCATGTCCTCATGAACACATGGAATTTATTGATATGATTTTACTGTGATCACTTCAAGTCTTCATTGCTCTCTCATGTCAGGGTGAAGAGCACCTTGAACAACTTCTATATTAATAAATTAAAATATTTCTATGTTAAGTCCATCAATTTTTTGTGAGAAACTTCATCTCCTTTATTTGATGCATCAGTCTATGACACACACTGTCATATCTGCATAATGTTTTAATAACTGTGAATACAATAAAGGCCTGGTAGCTTTCTATTCTCATCACCAAACAGGAGAGGCCAGGCAGTGTGTGGAAATTCAACTTGGAATAAAATTTACTTGGCCATACTGACCTGAAGTACTCCAGATTCTTAGAAGTAGTCAGATACACCTGAATGAATGAAAATATTCTTGTGGAGGAGTATGAATGATCATTTATTTTTATATTATTTGTAAGTAACTCAGTTTGACCTTCTTTTGCCTCTTTCATTTCATAGAGGTAGGACATTAGAGTTAAAGCTTAGGCATGAGTAAGACAGGACAATTTGGTACTCTACAAAAGTCCTCTACTCATGAGCCTGAGGGTTACTTCATACTGATTTTTAGGACACATAGACACATATATTGAAATCATAAGATCACACACAAAAAAGTCTTTCCGGTAGAATTTAACACTGTAACTGGGGCCTGGACCTTGAGGAACAATTTAGGACTTGGCATGAAAGGGGCCTTTATTGAAATCCGCAATATATTCCTGTAGAAATGGCACATGATTACAAAATACATAAGGGGTTAGGGGGGTACTGAAAATATCAGGTGGAAAACACTGTAAATTTTACTTAAACACTATGTTCTACAACTGAAACATACAAAATAAATTAAATGTAAACTGTAATTGTAATGTATACACTGTAAGTGGAACACTATATATGTACACTATATACATTGATTATGAATAAAAAAATTAATATCACTAAAATGTCCACACTACCCAAAGCAATCTACAGATTCAATGCAATTCCTATCAAGTTACTATCCTATCAAGTATTTCACATAATTAAAACAAATATTCAAAAAGTTTATATGGAACCATAAAACACCCTGAATAGCAACAGCAATCTTGAGAAAGAAGAACAAATGTGGATGAATCACACTACCTAATATCCAACTGTACTACAAGGCCATAGTTATCAAAACAGCATGGTCCTGGCATAAAAACAGCATATAAATCAGTGGCATGGAACAGAGAGGCCAGAAATAAAGCCAAGCATTTATGGTGAAGGAATAATTGACACAGGAGGCCAGAATATATAATAAAAGTAGTATATTCAATAAATGATGTGACTACATCAAACTAAAAGGAAACCATCAGATGAGAAGGCGATCTGGCTGCGACATCTGTCACCCCATTGATCGCCAGGGTTGATCTGGCTGGCTAGGCGGGTGTCCTCTTCCTCCCTCACTGATCCATGTGCATCCCTCCCAAAACTGCGCGCTCAGACCTTCCCCCGAGAGGAGAGGACCGGTCTTTGGTCAAGGGTATACAAGTAGCTGCGCTCTCCAGCTAGAACCTCCAAAAAAACAGCTCTAAAACAGCAGTTCTCAACCTGTGAGTCGCGACCCCTTTAGAGGTCGAATGAACCTTTCACAGGGGTTGGCTAAGATCATCGGAAAACACATATATAATTACATATTGTTTTTGTGATTAATCACTATGCTTTAATTATGTTCAATTTGTAACAATGAAAATATATCCTGCATATCAGATATTTACATTACGATTCATAACAGTAGCAAAATTACAGTTATGAAGTAGCAACGAAAATAATTTTATGGTTGGGGGTCACCACAACATGAGGAACTATATTAAAGGATCGCGGCATTAGGAAGGTTGCTTTAAAAGGAAACCATCAACAAAATAAAGACAGACAACTAAATGGGAGAACATATTCATATTCATAAATGAAACATCTGAAAAAGGGTTCCTACCTAAAATTATAAAGAATTTATACAACTTAACAACAAAATAAAAGATTGTGGGTTCCGTTTCATGTCAGGGCACTTGCCCCAGTTTTGTATTTGATTACCAAACGAGGTATGAATGGGAGTCAACCAGTAGATGCCTTCCGCCCCCCCCCCCCCCCCCCCCCCAACACACACACACACACACACACACACACACACACGTGCAGGCTGATGTGTCTGGAGTTCAAACTGGGGCATGAGTTCAGGTGGCATCGACTGCTGGGAGCAGGAAGATAACTTGGAAGGCCTTTATGTTTCCCTCCTCAGGCACTTGACTTATTATTTTGCACAATTTTGCACCTGCAAATCCCTCCCTGTACAGTGCGGACCCCGGGCGTCAGGGAAGAGACAGCCCGATCTGCCCTCGCTCACCCGGGGCAAGGCCTGCCTCGGCTCCTGGCTGTTCTCCAGCACGCAGGAAAGAATTAATTATTAATATTTATAACAACCCAGAAACTGATATCTGTGAACCACAAGCCCCAACACTTCTTTTCCAACATCTAGCCACTTAATCGTGGTTTTAGCTGGGTCAGCACAACAGTCTCCTGGCCTCCGAAGTGGAGAGCCGCAAAGGCCTTCATCAGCCGTTCCCGGGGCAAAGGCCACGTTCTTGGCAGGCAGGGCAGAATGG